GTAAATAGACGAACAAAACTGTAATTTAATTAGCGATTTAGGAAACAGCTAATTTAATCTAAACAGAATGTTTGATAATTGCCATGCCTATATGATCAGTTTTAAATATTCATATTTCTATTTGATTAGCACATACTACTGAATTAGTTTGGAAATAGTGTCGGTAAACGAGTGTACATATTTATATTTTCTAGGCCATACTCCTTTCTCGTAGTGGATGGCCAGCCTCCGAGTCCTTTTCCATTTCCACCTGACGCGTTTGTCGGAGTTGGAATACCTCGCAACGCCAGGCCTATACATTGGCTTGAGCATGGGGAAGTTGTCTGTGCAGTCACCATCAACAATGCTGCCAAACACGTGTACACCGGCGGCAAAGGTTGTGTCAAACTTTGGGACTTGGCTGCGCTTTCCTCAAACGCCGATGAAACTGCAAGTCCTCTCTCAACCAAAGCCTGCCTTAGCAGTCTCGACTGCCTTCAAAAAGAGAATTATATACGTTCTATAAAATTGACGCAGGTGAGCTTATTCTCATTAGTCATTTTTCCTTTTCTGATATGTGCCACTTTACAATTGTTGTCTTTTTTTCAACTATTACACGATGTTTTTATTTTCCCTCTGTTCGATGATTTTTTGATTTGCGTTGCGTCAACAGCTTATGTATATTTATTTTTAATTAATTTCTCGATTGCCCTTCTTTTTAATTGGTTTTTATGCTGTTATTTCCCATTTGCTTTTATAGGACGGTCGTCTATTAGTTGTTGGTGGTGAAGTTGACAAGCTCAGTATCTGGGACATTGGCGGCCCTGTACCACGTGCCAAAGGGGAGCTTCAAGCCACAGCTCCAGCCTGTTATGCGCTTGCAATATCGCCCGATGGAAAGCTGTGCTTCAGGTGAGTCGGAATTGCACTCTGTATTTTATTTTTATCACTTATTCGAGTAAATAATTTATCATATTTTCTAGCATACATTCTCACTGCATATATTAGTCTATTTATTTTTTATTATCTTTACCCTGCCCTACTCTAGCCCAGGGAAT